AACCCACAGAAAAAAAAAGTGGAGCAGCACACACATGGGCAGCACTCCCTTGCAGCGTGGAGAACATCTAAGTGTGCAGTATGTGGTAACATAAACATGTGCACAGTGCCATATACTGCAGGGCCAAGCTCATCTGGAAGTGGCTTGTGTGTTTATCCTTGATGTGGTAGACATGGCACAATCTGTCAAAGGATGTGAGGTATTCTTCTATGACTGAGCCTTCCTTGTAGCAGGGGTGTATGTTCTTGAAGTCAGGCAGCGTAGATGGGGTACCCCGTGTTGGAGAACAACTGGAGTCTCACAGTTTCTGTAGTTGAATCTCCAACCACTTCTTTTCTATTACCAGCCATGCCAGCTGCAACTGTCTATAGCTATGCTGGCTTGGGCCAGACTTGTCTCAGGAACCCTGTCCTCCTCCAAGTCATATTGAGCTAGTTTGTCCTGAGCACCTTCACAGACTTCCCAGCATGCCTAAACTTCTTTCTAGGCAGATTTTTTTCCCCACAAATCTGTTTTGCTGAGTTCAGTGTAAACTTGTTTAAATCATTCTTTTGCTTGTTGCTGTTCCACACACCAACAGCAACAGTTTCTCGGGGCAGCACTACCACCTAGCCCTCAAAAAAATTCCTGTGAAGATCTGGGGTCAACCTCCCCTCAGTCATAGCGAGGTCCCTCCCCTGGGGACCTCTCGGAAAGGGGGCCACCTCCTCCTGGTCACTGCCTCCAGAGCATTCCAGATAGCCTGTCCCCCCACAACGTCAGGGGATCCACAGGCAGAAGCAGAAACACCCAAGAGTGTTTCTGCCTGTGGATCCATGCCAGTACATTCCCCACTTCTACTGTCAAATGAAATACAGTATATTGCTTTTGAGGAGGGAGTTATCATACTGAAGTCATGCACTGCCAGGGTTAAAGGAATGTAATGGCCATTTTTGGATGCAATGCCAAACTTGAACATTTGTGAAGACTGAGGTTCTGGAATATCTGAGTCCAGGCTGACTTCTGCAGATGCATCAAAGCAAGTGGTTATATGACATGAGCATACTTTAAGTGCTGTAGTCACAGAGACCTAGTCTAAATTGTGAATGAGTGGCAGGAAATCCTGCTTTCTGTATCTAACTTTAGCTTGAAATTATTATTTCCATTGTAATGATTATGAAAGAAGACACAAAACAAGAAAGAGGGACACTCCATCAGCGGCTGCCATATATACTGCATTTACAGCCTGAAACCATTTCAGTATTTTATCTATTTTATTTTTACTTCTTAACACAACTTTAAGGAAGTTGGCGCTTTAATGCATTGAACATGTAGGAACTAAAAATGTCCAGATCCTTTTAATAAGGTACCTTTCAGTATTAAACATTGGGGCATATTCTCCTCAGGAAGTACACACTTAACTCACATTAGCATTAATAGCAGCTATGTGCACACATTGAGTGGAGAATATATCTCTCTTTGTCTCTCTGTACAGTGCTCTAAGAAAAACTTTGAAGAAATTGAGAAAAGCAGAAAGAGCACTATATTAATTTTAAGGAGATGAAAGCAGTACATGTCATTCCTAAATTTCATGGAAAATGCACTGTTAGTAACAAAGATGAGTAGAAAATTTCAAAATCATTTTGAGCAACATTAAAATCAGTCTTCCCTGATTTTCTGTTTTCCCCTTCATTTCAAAGCACATACATTAAACTCATTTTATGCTTATAATGTATATAATGATTCTAGACAACATAAGAAGGATACCATGATTTTTCCTATTCCAATGTATAAACTGGCAGGCCAATTTATGCAGCTTAAACCATTGCTAAAGAAGATGCATCAAAAATTGTCTGTGATCATTACAAATAATAGCCTAAAATGTTCAGAAGAAGCTGTTTTCTTATCATATTTTCATTAAAACATCTTTTCACCTGCTTTGCTTTTCCCATGTCTGTAACCTGCATTGTAATCAGTCTTATTAACTGAGACCATAAATATGATTTATTATGGCCTGATAATGGAAGCTGCGTGGACCAAGAGAAGGGATATATTGTCCTTTGATAAAATGGCTCTTTTCTCTCAAATAGAGCTCTATCATGAGAGCATGCAGAATGTAGTGAGTGATTATTTCCTGAGGGTGAGTGATGGCAAAACCCTACAGAAAATCTTCTTGTTGGCCATGACAGCCTCCGAGTATCCCCAAATCTCGCTGAGTTTGACAACCTGCAGACACTTTTGATGAACTGTATTCTTCTATCAGAGACAGCCTGTCTGGGAGGAGAAAAGGGAACCTTTATCGTCTGATCTGCTATTATTGTCTTGATCTTTTATAAGCAATCTCTAATGCACATGAATATAATATCCTTTCACACAAGTGCCAAACATAATAGAAATGTAGTTAAAGGGCCCCTTTCCCAGCTATGTAAATGTCCTAATACCATAATTAGAAAAGATGGTTTGTGAATGATAGCAGTAAGGAAAGGGTAATCAAAATGTTTTAACATTATCTTTCTGTTTTAAAGACCAAAATCCATGATAAATAGCATTTATGGCAGATACAGAGAACCAGCTTATGTTGAAGCCTTTGCCTAAAAGAAAATAATTTTGAGCATGAAGCTGGTGTTATATTTTCATAAAACATGTAAATGGCAGCTGGTCCTAAGCCAAGAATGATTACTGTGCAGATATGGTTTAAAGAAAATGAGTATCCCACTCCAAATCCCTATTTGACTGTTAAAACAAGAACAAAGAGTTATTAAAAAGTACTGCACTGGGACAAATGGGTCCTCAAGCCCAAATAAAGTTGGCCAATAAATCTCTCTTTTATCTACTTCCAGAAGAATAAACATAACAAAATCTTTTTCAATTAAGAGACATATACACTAGCAAAACACCCCTATTCCTTAGCTCAAATAGACTGATTAATTTATCACAAAAAATGAAAGGGAAAGGTTTCCAAGTTTCCCCATAAAGCAAGATATTTAATTTTTCATTAACTTTTTGACAGCGGATGCTGGGATGTCCCAGTGTTAACTGCTAATGGTCTTTTATGTGACCAGTCTGTGCTGAGAGAAATCCCAATGGCCAAAGCCAAAAGGTTAATCAGTAATTTCACACTGGTGATGTGGTCGGAGTTTACACTTTAGTCCCTAAATGGAGGGGAGAAAAAAACAAAACCATTAGCACAAAAAATAGGCCCCCAAATAATTAAAATCTTCTCACTCTTTCTGGCAGAAATAGTTCATGGATATAGTTATAAAATGTCTGATCCTTTACAGAGTCATGAAAAACTTGCGTCAAAATGTCCAAGCCCAAACACACAAACATTTGTTTGTTTTTAGGATAATGATGATAATGAAAAATGATTGATATTTTACTTACCCATTAAAATTGTTAAATCAAGGCAGGGGGAAGGGAGAAATCTGCAGGTCCGTTATGAACATCAACTTCTAAATACATTTCCAGTAACAGCTGGGGAGTTTCCAGGATGTGAGCTCTGCTCAATGTGCTTCCACTGCAGAAGAGGTGCAAAATACTTGTATGCATGTACATTAAACGCAGACTTGGTACAGTACCACTTGATGAAACAAGGCTCAAATACCATTGTCATGGATAATGTATAGGAAGTTAAGTGGATCTATAGCAAAATTGGAGTAGGATGAACTATAGAGGAATGTCTCTTTGAAATACTCCCAAAGAAAAAATATCCCTAAAAAAATATATACACGTTGGCATCTGTTGCTGCCAGGAATGTTATGACAATGATACCGTTTTTATTTGCCCTGGCAACGGTTTATTAAAAATAAATTGCCAACCACTGTATCTGTCATTTGGGGCTTGAAGTCTGTGAACAGCTCTTGTATGGATCAGATCCATAGTGAGTGCTACAATATTCTCTTTCCAGCTATGGCTAAAGCAGATAGACACAAAAGCAGTGTCCCTTCTCCTGGATTTGAGCACTTCTGTTTTTTCAGTTCCAACAAAAACCAGGGTTGAAATCCTCACTCTACTGAAGTCAATGGGAGTTTTCCTGCTGTTTTCAGCAGGGGTAGGATATCTCCCTAAAATCTTTTGTTAACATGACAACTCTTTTACAGCACCCCATTACCTAGTCCAACAGGAGTTTCTGTTGAATGCAGGGAACCCTTATGCATCTTTTCATTTCTCACTTGTGTACTTGGCAGTATGTATTTATACAATCAAAAACAGAGAAAAACCTAATAAAATTAAGACAAAACCTAAGTGGTCTATAATTCTGCTTAATCTCCCAAACTAGATTTTTAAAGTTGGCTGAATTCCCCAAACCTCTCTCAGGTGCCAATGAGTGAGTCAACACACCACCACTTTCATGGTATGGCAGAAAGCAAATTGTTCTTCCAGGATCTCAAACATGCCCTCAAGTAATTCATCTAATTTATTTGCAAAGCCATACCAGAATAAAAAGCTATTGCTTTAGGTTGCTCACAATATTCTTGGTGGCTAAGAGAATAGTCATGAATAGTAGGGCTGTGCAAAGCTTCAGTCCCTGGTTCGATTCGATGGCGATTCAGCCCGATTTGGTGGCCAAATCTCTGAATCTGAATCGAATCAGAGGACCCTTTAATCTCTCCAAATCGATTTGGAACCCTCTGAAGCGATTCGGAGAGATTTGGAAAGATTCAGTGATTCAGACATAGAGACATCTTTAAATGTTTTTTCTACATACCTCTGGGTAGCAGGCGACTTGCGAATGTTGTGATGCTGGGGTGCATGGAGTGTCCCACAGGAGTGCGGGGGGGCTCCCCAGTGTGCTCAGCAGCAGACCTGAAAGTGGACCAGAAGCACTTCCGGTCCACTTCTGGGTGCACTGGGGAGCGTGCTGCCTCACCCCCCATGCCCTCCCAGCTTAGCGACTGGTGCCTCCTGGGTCAGGGAGGCACCTGGGGTCCCTTTGCGGTTGATTGTCAAGCCGGAGGCTGTGGGGGGCCCCCGGCACGCTCCCCAGTGGACCCGGAAGTGGACCAGAAGTACTCCCAGGTTCATCACTGAGCACATGGAGGGGCTCCCTGCAGTCCTGTGGGACACTCCATGCACCCCAGCATCACAGTGTTCACAAGCCGTGCTGGTACCTCAAGGTATATAGAAAACAACATTTAAAGCTGTGTCTATGTCCAAATTCTGATCTCCAAATCAACATCAAATCTTCAGATTCAGATTCGTCTGAATCAACTCAGGGACAGTGATCTGAATCAATGAATCAAATCACTGTCCCTGATTCAGGCTGAATCCAAATTCGAATCAAATAGGGCCCACTTTGCACACCCGTATAGGTGGAGTAGGAAAGGAATTCCATGATATTCTTCTGCAGGCAGTGTGTGTGTCCTCTTCTAGAAGTAAGACAAGACCCGACTCCCCCTACCTGGAGAATGGAGCATCACTATGAATATCACATTTGATTTTCTTGAATTTTCATAGTAGGCACTGAAATACTTGCTTACACTTTACAGTTGAAAAGAATGAAAGGTACATTTGCCCCAATATTAAACTTGCAACCACTTAAAAAAATTCTACTTTTTTATTGCAACAGTGAGCAGAGTCTTATTTTATATGCAGGGATCCTCTAGACAGATCTCCAAGCATTTTTATAACTATATAAAGGGATCTCCCTTTGTCCACCATTAGATTGTATTTACTCCTGAATTCTAATCTAGTTGCTGTTTGATTTCAAACTATTTAAAAACAGTGCAGGATAGGCAGTAAAGAATGACTTCAGTTGAAATTTAGGGGAATTGTTAGAGGCAGGATGTAATCACCACATTTGAGTAGAAGCAAAGCAATTAACAATCCTACTTTTGGAAGAAGGTCTCTAAAGTTTCAGATGAAAAGTTATTAGAACTCTGGTTTTATATTTGATGCAAAATATGAGGTGTGCAGCAACACAATAAGACACTAGTTTAATTATAGCTCAGAGGGAAAAGTATCATTTACTGAATAACTACTGCCTCTTCTCTTCAGTATGTCTGTGTTCATACATACTGAAGAGAAGTTAGGAAGATCACATCCAAGTATCTTCCTAACTTAAAGTAACACAGCCAAAAAGGAGTTAGGTCCCCCAAAGAAAGCCCCCCCCGCCCCCCCCCCATAATCAATAAACAGAGATCCCAAATCTCTCTCACTTATCAGAATGTTTGTTCATTGCCTGGTAAGACATTTGTATTTTAACTGTGACATTTTACAGCTGGACTTCAAATGGGGGATTCTCTCTTGCTGCTTATGCAAAAGAAGAATGCAAATAACCTTTTAGAAATAGACTGAAGTAATTAACAGGTGTACAATGGTACAGAGAGACACTGATGGATTTCTTATAGCTATATTAGCAGCGAAAATGCTTTTCCTACTGTTTTTTTCTCATTCATCAGTTTCTGGATGCATCTTCTCCCCTCCACTATTTTCCTTGCTCCATATTTCTTCTCAGTTTATTATTTCCTTTCTAGGTTTGTCTCTGCTTTCTTTCCCCCTTCCCAACTACCTCCACTTTTGTCTTTCTACATTCAGTCTTATATTTTCTCTTGTCTGTTTTGCTTCATTTTAATTCCCTGCTCTTTTAAGTATGCAGTAGTGCTAAGAGAGCACACTTAAGGGAAGGGAGTCTTCTTCAGAAGTACAGAAAATCCCACCTCCACAGGCAGAGCAGAGTGTTCTGAAGGGCCATTTACATTGTAGAGAGATGTGGCTCTTTTTCCTCTTTGAGTCATATTTAATAAACAAGATACCTACCAGGTGCTAGAAGAAATCAGAGAGAGGTGTGAAACCTACAGAGTACAATTTGCCAGTGGCATATTTATTGATATCCACTCATGCCACCTCTCCAAAGGGTGGCCAAAATGCCACCTTTGCATCCATTCCACAACAAGCACTTTTCTTATACAATGGGAAATTATACAAATTCATTTAAATTGCAGCCTAAAAATTGTATTCTTGGGGTCCTATTGGCCACCACAGCTTTTCTAAGGCAGACAATGTGCTTTGAATATGCATGTAAGTATGTACTTTCTAAAAAAGAATTCAGAATTATAC